CATTAGTCCATGTCAGAGCAACTTCAACAGAGAGGGAGCAGGAGAAAGAGGAGGGTGAGTACTGAGACTAACTGAAGGAAAAAAAGGAAAGAAGAAGAGGATCAAAGAGGCGCACAGAGCAGAAAACAGGACAGATGAGGACAACAGCAGAGCGATCGAAACATCAAGGACAGAACAACAAGTTTTCACCTACAAAGTAGGTGAAATATTTAAGGAAAAGTCAAGTTTGCAGAGAACTGTCACCTACAAAAGGAGAAACAAAGAAGCTGGACCACTGCTGTAGCGTTTTCAACAAAGTTTAGGACCAGGCTGCATTTCTGCATTTTCCCATGATTCCTTTCAATTCTCTCATTGTACTTTCTCTGCTGTCACTGTATGTGGGAGCGCTGCTGTCCTCAAATGCATCTGTGGCCTGCACTCACCCTCCCTGCAGGGACAGTCTAGTGGCTGCACCCATCCCGTCTGGGACAGGAGCAGAAGTGGGTACTGGGGCCTACAAGGGTCAAACTGGTACAGCAGCTTGCAGGATGGGGAATTTACTTCCTGCCATCTCAGACACTCCTCGGAAAGTGGAGCACAGACATAGTTTCCCCCAGGTTCAGCCTAAGGTAAGAGACATCGCTTACAGCGTAGTGGAGAATCAGCTGCAGAATGAAATGCATCTTTTCTAACTTAAATGTATTCTAAAACAAGCCAGATAATGTCTCAGTGAGATAGAAACGCTGAATGACAAGTTGAAGCATAGCTGACCTCCTGTCTGTTCATTCATGTACACCAACACAACTGAGCGTTGGGCTTTCAGGCACAGGGCACCAGGTCCTTTCTCATGGGACAGTTGGTGCACTAAAATTGGCACGACTTCACAGCCATGGAGCAATGACAGTTCGCAATCAAAGAAGGGATAAAATTAGGTCTGCTTTAAAAATGTCCTCATCATATGATTGTGCTGAGCTCATGCAGCGACAGGTGTGTGAGGGTCATGATTACAATGGCTGATGTAAGTGTAAGAGACAGGCTTACAGTGATACAAAATGCCAATCATCTGTCTACTAAAACTAAAGAATGCATGATTATGCACGTGCAGTTTCATTAGCTTTACTTACAAACACAGCGCTGTGCCACTCAACCACATTTAGAGATACAACATTTCATTGAAGTAAAAAGAAGATTTGACAATGATTAATGGTGATTTTTGTATTTTTGTTTCATGATGAGTTCATGATTGATCAGTGACTTATTGTGTAACCCAAGATCTTATCACGAGGTACCTGTGGGTATTGTCTTTGTAGACAGGAGGTGTGAGAGAACGTCTAGTTCAGCTGCAGCACTGCATGCATGCTCTCCAGGAAACAGGGGGCTCCTGGAGCCACGGGGGCCAGGATAGCAACTCTCTAGGGGCCATTCTGGCACTAATGGCAGCTGTGCTGACAGAGTGTGACCTCCACTGTCACAGTCAGACCCTTGGGGCAATGGCCAAGCGCCTGGGTGAGTAGTACACATTTATATGCTCTACCTCTGCAACACACACACACACACAAATGCCAGCACAGTCACTCACCCACACATAGTAAACAGAACCTCAATGAGGCCTGCTAAGTGTTGGTCATAGGTGAGTGCATAGGAATTTAACTGCATGAAGAAGGATGAGAAATACTCTGTGTACATGCACACATAGACACACATATTGTATGGCTCACAGTGTGAAGAGGCTTGAAAGAGGTATTGTACAAACTGGAAGCCCCTATGTGCAGTAAATAAAGACAAAGCGTCTATTTTCAGGCCCTGACAACCATGTGATGAGTCTCACTGATAACCTAATCTTTCTCTGGGTTGACAGAGAGTGCAGCTGCTGGAAGAGAGGGGGAAAAAGACCTCCTGCTTTTCCTGAAGAGCATCACACAATACCAACCCACAGGTGAGGGTGTTAGGAGTGATCACATGATACAACTGTTGTTGATTTAGAAGTTGAATAAAAAAAATGACTGTGTGTGGTTCTCAGTTGCCCCCTTGCAGAGGTTACATCCTCAGGACTGTGCAGAGATTTACAAGCTTGGGATCAAAGAGAATGGAATCTACACCATTCAGCCTGACCTGCACAGGTCAGCACTGGAGGTATTTCAGATTCATCACACCCATAAAACACACAGACAAACTGCCACTATACTTCTCTTCTGTGGATCAGTAAAACCTAGACTTCATAACATCAAAGTCTTTGTTTTGGCTCAGGCTAAATGTGACATGGAGACAGCAGGTGGAGGGTGGACGGTGATCCAGACTCGGCAGGATGGTTCACTGGACTTCAACAGAACCTGGCAGGAATACAGGGAGGGCTTTGGCAGTCCACTTGGAGAGCATTGGCTGGGGAACACAGTGTTGTACTCCCTCACTTCAACTGGCCAACACCAACTCCGGATTGAGCTGGAGGACTGGCACCAACAGCGACGCCATGCTACCTACAACAACTTCAAAGTAGCTTCAGAGGAACAAAGGTGAAACACACTTCACAAACACAAACTAACTGATTGAAATATACTGTATGTAAAATATAAATGTGTCTGGAAGGTCATTTAGGCAAATGATGATGCACTCCTCTAGCCCCATGTTCATCTGCTGTATTCATTTAGATTAGACACTGAGCTTCAGTTACAAGACTGAAAAATCATTCTTTTCAAAACTCACACATCACACAGACACTGTTGTCCTGACCTCTGTTGAGCTGGTTATGATATTATACTAGTATGGTTGGTGCATGCATTGATGTGTGTGTCTGCTTGGCTCCTTAGTACACATGAAGACTTGGATGTTACAGAAAATCCTCACAAATGTGTCATATGGGCCCTGCGATGGACTGGTGACCTGTCCAAGGCGTACCTCGCCTTTGCCCGATTGCTGGCTGGGATTGGCTCCAGGCCCCCCACGCAACCCCGTTTGGGACTGAGCGGTATAAAAGATGAATGAATGAATGTGTCATATGTTGATTCTCTTTTACCAGGTATCGTCTGACAGCACGGGAATATTCTGGTGATGCAGGCAATGCCCTGAGCTACAGCAAACGTTACAACCACGATGGCAGACCTTTCAGCACTGCTGACCGAGACCATGACCGCTATGCAGCTGGAAACTGTGCTGAGTACTACAGTGCAGGCTGGTGGTTTGATGCCTGCCTGGCAGCTAACCTGAATGGACGATATTACCACGGACGCTACGGTGGCTTGACCAACGGCATCTACTGGGGGACGTGGTACATCCTCACAGATGGACGAACAGGAGAACGCTACTCCTTCAAGAGGGTGGAGATGAAGACAAGACCCAGGAGCTTTGTGGGGACAGCCTAAAGATAATTTGCTGCACAGTAAGCTACTGTACTAATCAGGCCAGTCACACATGAGAATCAGATGTTTAACTGTCTGGACATCACCCTGTTTTGGGCAGCTAAAATGTACAAAAAAAAAAAATTGTGTTAATTAATATTCACTAGAAGACTGAAGCTAAACTCCATAGTATATTATATTTTTGTTATGTGGTTTCTTGCTTGCAAAAAACATGCATATTTATAACAGTGGATTGAAGAAACAGATACTGAAAATACTACATGTAGAAGTGGTTGATGAAATAAATGTCAAGAATCTTTACTGTATTTTTAAAATAACCTGCTGTGGTAGTTTAATTAGGATGCCTGGGGAGATGTCTTTGTTGTAATGACATACGTGATTAAAGCACAGTATAATAAAGATGAAACTTGTTCATTGTTTGGATTAACCCCAGCTGTTCCACTGATCTTACAAGAATGCAGAGATTAACCCTCAGAGTTTGAATGTGCCACTGCCTACCTAATGTAAGATTTGTGACCTATTAAAACCCAGACTGCAATAGCTCAAATATATTTTAGATCAGATGATGTCATGGGAGAAAATGTCTAACTTAATAAAGTCACAAGGTTGTCATGTCACTGCAGAGGGAGTTTCTAATGGGGTGATACACAGGTCCAGCTTCATCACTGTCATTTATGGGACAGAAAACCGATAAGGGTTTTTAAAAAACAAAACAAAACAAAAGATATAAAATTTAGTGTACCCCAAAGACCCATGTGTTCAGCCTCCAGCTATACAGGCTGACAGTAAACAGAGAGAAGCCCACCTCAGGAGAAGCCAGTTTTCTCACCTCACCTTCATACTTTCCCAGGAGCAAGCTTAACACACTGATGCTGACTGATGGGAGGCATAGTCTGTTGTTGGGTTCCAAAAATCATCCACCGCCCACTAGTATCAAGTCAACACACACACACACACACACACACTCGACCTCACTTGCTTTTTTGCAGATTGGCGTCAGGCGGGCAGCTCCCTCTCTGGCTTTGTTTCACAAAGAATTTAATAGGAGTTTGGGGTTGCTGTATGAGAACTGAGACTGGCTATGCATGAGCAGTCTGGCAGCAGGAAGTAACAAGTTACTGTAATTAAATAGCAAAAATGTAACTGTAATCAGTTACAGTTACTAAGAAAAAATATGTAATTTAATTTGATATTGATCAAAATACCGGTGTTTACAAAGGAATCTATTATTTTGGGTAAAAACCTATATGTATATATAACATTCATTCAGTTGCTTTGATTGTTTCTTCTGGTATATTTCCAGACAACAAGCATTCAGCAAAGTCATTGGGTCAAATAACAACAACAGCAGCTGTTTCTATGTCTGTATAGATTCCATTTATTTGGCAGCATGCATTAAATTTTGAACGTTGCTTTTGATTGGTTCTCTTGTTTGACTTTGCACCGCCTCTCATCTGTCAATCAAATCATGGCACATTGCCCTATGCAGTCCAGCTGCCAGCAGCCAACAGCACCAGGGCAGGTGATCATGTTGAACGCTTTTCAGTGCTGGAAATTCAACAGTGTTTTAGGGTTTAGGTGTTGTAGGGTTTTGCTCGGTGCCCATTCAGTAGGCTACATGTTTAATCTGTAATATTTTATGTAACTGAACTTTTAATAAAAGTTTGACAGCAGTAAATGTCGAGTACTGTTGTGAGGTTTACACTGCTTAGTTTAAATTAGGATTCTTTAGCTTTATTTCCCAGTTTAAAACATGTTTTTAGAAAAGTAATTAAAAGTAATGAGTTATTTTGATGAAATAATTCAAATAGTTACATTACTTATTATATTTTTAACAGGGCGACTAGTAATCTGTAACTTATTGCATTTCGAAAATAACCTTTCCAACAGTGTCAGCGAGTGAGAGAGTGTATGTGTGTGTGTGTAAATGGCTGCACCTAATTTAGCAATGTTCATGGTGAGCTGTCAGACTTTCCAACAAGCAGATTATCTAATATTAACCAGTGAGTGAGGCGAGAGTCTATAAGGGCACTCACCAAACTGATCTAAACAAACAAAGACACCTTGGGCACACTCCTGACTGGCCACAGTATTTCACAGGCACGGCTTATACACACATTGGTAGATGCCTGTATCCTTGGGTGCACACACACACACACACACACACACACACACACACACACACACAGGAGACCTCTCTCAACAGATAATGGGCATGATGCGCTTGACTTCATTAAAACAAGTGCACATTAGAAATAAAATGGCTTCCACTGAAGACAGTTTGATCATGTTGCCTTAATTATTATTATGCAACCAGAAGCTCTTTTTCTCATCTTCTCTGTCTTACACATATACATGCACACACACAGCAGACAGACAGTTAACCATATGTAATCAAGATCAATCACCCATATAAGCCATTACACATATCAGCTTACTCAAAAGGACTTTGTGTCTTTGTGTGTGTGTGTGTGTGTTGTTATATTACTAGAAAACAGTTTGAAGGCTCCATTTTCTGCCCCCTGGTGGATTCTGATCATATTGGAGAGACTGGGAAAAGCTTTATAACAGCTGAAGATAACTGCCAAAATCTGCACTGTACTAATTTAGACCATGGAATATAAATAATGTTTTTGTCCTTGACAGATACTTTTGAAATATCCCGGATAATGAACCACACAAAAACAGTCAAATATTTTCAAATTTCTCATCATGTTATCACTGATATGGTAGTAAAAGAAATAACTCTTAACTCCTTCCAACCACTTTCTATTTATCCTCACTGTGCTCTTTTTTCATTCACACCTTTATTCTAACATTATCTCCCAAATGTTTTAATCTTCTTCTTTTTTATTTTGCCTATTCTGATCTGTAGTCACTTTAAATATCAATCAGTCCTGGTGTCCTCCTCCTCTCCTCTCCTCCTCTCTGCATCCATCAGTCTTGTTGACAGGGAGGAACAGAGACCCAGGGTTGTGTCACCACAGTATCCTGGCACGGTGTCTGGAGCAGGGTGATAGCGGCGGTGCTGCATGGTGTGAGGGGTACCGGCAACCTCTGCTGCCCCAGGGCCGGAAGCCCAGCCTGGCAGCGGTTAGCCAGCATATCTCTCAGAGAACTACTGTGCTCCTCTGAGGGAACTCCCCCTGTGACCTTGTGCCATTTATTTCTGTGTTACAAGACAACATTAAATTGAAAACAGAAGCCAGACTCGTCTTTATGCTATGTTGGTGCTTGTAGAGTATGCCAGCAACCTCTAGCTCCCCCATCAGATATTGACGATGTCTTACATATCTGGGAATATCATTTTGATGCACAAGCTGTTTTTGGGGCCCTGGACAGTTCGCCAATCCATCGCAGGGCTAACACATAGACGAACAACCAGACACACGCACATGCACTCCTATGGGCAATTTAGAGACACCAATCAACCTAAGCTGCATGTCTTTGGACTGTGGGAGGAAGCCGGAGTACCCGGAGAGAACCCACCGAAGCACGGGGAGAACATGCAAACTCCACACAGAAAGGTCCCAGGTGGGGCCAGAACCCGGAACCTTCTCGCTGTGAGGCAACGGCGCTAATCACTGTGCCACTGTGCTGCCTTTCATGGTCACAGAAACATAAAAGATAATGTAAACAACAAAAAAATAAACATCTCCAAAAGGCCACTGCAATAACCTTTTAACTTTTTAGTTTCTTGGTCAAATCTTCTATATATTCAGGTGATTTCTATCGACGAACACAGCCATCTTTAATGATAATCATTGTTACTGTTTATCAGTGTTACTCTGGGTGACGATATCATGTCCCCCTGATTTCAGATTCATCATTTCACTCTAGTAAAACTTATGTTCCTGTTTTTCCTCTGTTTTCGCTTAGTTAAAAGTTAGGTCTGTGTAAACCTAATGCTTGTCCAAAAATGGGGAAATATTTAAGCAGATATATCATACAGGGCAAGAGTTTGTCCAGCTTTACAAGTCTGCTGCTCACAGCCCAGCAGCTGTCACTGGACTGCTTATAGTCAGCGGTTCTGTAGACTTAAGACAGTTTATCTGGTTGACAGCAGGTGGCATTGTTGCTTAACATAGAAGAAATCTGGAATATGACGATTTCTCTCTGAGTTTGAGATATTCACATGGGAAACTGCATCTCAGTCTAAAACAAAAGAGGCACACACACTTTGTGCAGAAATTGCAGAACAACAGATATTTTGATCTCTATGAAAATAAACAATCAAAGACAATAACTGTATCAAACACAATTTTTGTGTGAAAACTGTAAATGATGTAATATGTGTATGCATTACAGCTATATGTTTTAGTAAAATGAGATTTATTTCAGTGGATTTGATGTCTTAGAATGTGAGCACTTTGGCTCACAAAATGTTAAAATATTAAAGCCTAACCCCAAAACTTCAGATTGCAGTTTATGTTTTTCAACACTAGGGTTATCACAATTAAGACTGGAGATCAGAACTGGTTTACAGTGAGAGACGTCTGAGGAATGTACTGACACTATGACACAATTTTAATGTGTGATATTAAGAAAACAATCCTGAGGCTCAGCAGCAGTGTGTCAGCAGTAGAAAAAGACCTGGTAATGCGAGAGGTGAAAAAGGCGGGAGGAGGTGACCTGCAGTGGAAGGAACTTTCATTCTTTAATCTGCTCTTATGGTGATAAAGATGTGCATGGAGAATGTCAGGGGTGAGGAGGGGAGGCACGCTTATGGGGAGGAAGCAGGAGCGAATGAGGTTTGAAAGGTGTGGGAGTACAACGGGCCGTTAGAGGCTCCCCCTCCCTGACCACAGGGCCACTGAGAGACAGTATGTGCCTGCTTCTAATACTGGTCCTACAGAAAACCAGAGCAAGGCAGCGTTCCGTTTGAAACCGGAATTCACCAGAACAAGTGTATCCTGATGTGGTGAGGAGCTGAGGTGAAGAGGGGGAAAGGAGGGAGGGAGGACACAAAGGGCGCCATATGGCAGGCCTCACTACATCTCTTG